AAACTTTAAATGTTTATATCTAATAAGCTAATAAAGTTATATTAAAAATTCAAACGCCATTTACTATTAAATTAAAAACTCAAACATTTTATTAAATTAAAAATATGTGTTACCATTTAAAAAAACAAAGTTGACCCCCCTCCAAGGCATAAGGGATGAACTTAAAAAGTATTACATAGTTAATAATTCAAGAATAATGTGTAACTAAAGATAATAATAAAAAAAAAATTTTAAATTTTTATTATTCTGTAAGTAATTGAGTGGGTTATGATAAAAAAATCACCCTGTATATATAAAAAATATTAACAAGTTAGGTTTGTGCTTACATTTTAAAAATGCAAAATTATTTTATTTTTATTAAATGTTAAAATAAGTTCCTTGATTAACCTATTTAATGGGACGTTATTGATGAATCTTAAAATAATAATAATAATACATGTATCTATGATTTGAAATCACATTTTAAACACCTTATGTTTTAAATTTTATTTGTATTTGTACTTTACTTTAGCGGTATTTTCTATATAGCTTTTGCTTTATTTGGTTGATGTTTTTACTGATTAAAAATATGATAGATAAAATATTTCAGTAGACTTTTATTCTTTTTACTAAATGATAACATAAATGATCTGAAAGTATTATATGGCTTCAAAACACAAATAACTTTGTACAAAAATTGTGAGATTTGGTTAAATGGTCATATTATTCAACTTAAATTATTGGTAATAAAAACCTTCAATGAGTGGTTAAAGTTTTATTTTTTATTTCAGAGTTGTAAAATTAAAATTATAAAATATTTTAATGATTTAATAAACGTCAGTGTTTTGTGAAAAGCAAGAATCCTTATTCAAAGTGAAAAAAATTGCTACCAAAGCTAAAACATTTATACAAAGAAAGGCGAAATATCAAAAACTATCCAGTAGACCTATAGAACAAAAGTCGTCAACACAAAAAGACAAATAAAGTCAATTTATTGATAAATTTGAAAATATTTTCGACATTGTTGCAAAAATGATCTTATCTCAATAACAGTCCAAGAGGACATAGACTTAAAAAGAAACAAAGCAAAAAGGACTTACTAGATTAATGTATGGAATTGAAATTTTTTTAAAAAAGAGTATTTCAATAAGCGGAAAATAAATATATTGTTAAAAATTTATTTATTCGGAAATGAATTTAACTTAAATGCCAAATTAAAAAACAACACATTGTGATATTTGCATTTTATTTAATATATTGATATCTGTCACCACACTGAGTATGAAATACTTCATATCCATACTACTACTGGATCGATTTTTATCCATTATATGCCAAAAGATCGCAAGTTGTATTTTGTTGAAGCTATTAAGCTATAATTTTTAAAAAAAATTCTCAGTACCGGTAATAAAAAGAAATATTCCAATAAATTACGGTTGTCATAAAACAATAGTCAATGTCGATATTTTTAGTTTTCACCCTATACTGAAAATCCAATTTATTACCAAAAAATTGTTAGGGCTTAAAATCTTTAAAAAAAAATTGTCTTTTCCTTTTTGTTATTGTTTTGAAAAACCTGTGTTTTAAAACCTATATCAAATTAAAACAACAATAGATAATAATAAAATAACACAAAATAAAAATATCAATAATAAGTAAACCTTATCAACAATAACATGAAAATAACATAAAACAACAAATATTAAACAACATTAGCCGATTACTGATAAAAACAAAACGAAAACAAGCTAAGCCGACAGTATAGTTATAACTTCGGTCCTGTAACTATCACTCCGGAGATGAACTTTGCAACGAATTCAAAATATAAACACAAAACTAAAGACATGGGTCTATCCACAAGTATCCTATATAATATTGTTAGTAACTGAAAATTTCTATTTTCGTTATCGTTTTTCACTTATGGGATAAAACGATAGAAACTATTGTAAAACCTTGTAACTAAAACTATTACATAATGAAAGGGTCTCTCACGAATTATAAAGTTTTAATAGTAATTATAGATTATTGAAGAGAGATATTTAAAAATTTACTAATATCTTAAGTTTTAGATTTTAATTACTACACAAAATTAACGTGATTTTACGCGTAGTATTAGCGAGTAACAAAGTGTACTACAAGAGACTATTATGGTAGTAAAAGTGTGTTGTATATTTTGGATCTTTTAATCTTTCTTGATTTTTCAACTTATGCCTCATTATCCAACATTATACACATGTTATCTTATTTTAACGAGTACGAAAGAAATCATTTTGATATTTTAAGACAACGTTTTTTAATTATCTATATGTTGACGTAAATAGACATGAATCCAGATAATTTTTTTTTGAAGGGATCATTTTTCTAAATTAGATCATGTAATTTAATCAGTACATCTAAATACAATAATTTGTTTTTAAATCATATGTTTTTAATCATTTAATTTAAAATTTGCTATAATTGAAAAACTAGATTAACATTATTCAGTGGTATTGTGGTAATATATATCATTGTACAATATTAATTTAAAATAAGTAATTGAGACATTTGAACATTTTACTAGCGTAGCAACTCTATTATATTTAACTGAATTTAGTAATAATTGTATTTAAACTTTGTTATTTTTTAATTTATATTTTTGTATTAAGTGTTCATAGTGATTTCTTGTTTAACCATTTACTAACATTAATGATATAATTAAAAATTTAATGGGTTCTTGTAAATTAAAATGATTAAATCTTTATTTGTACTATTTTTTAACATTTCTTTATGTATTAACATACATTTATCAACTACTTAGAGTGACGACTTTTTTTTTCTCGCCTTAATCCCAACTACTTGGGGTCGGCTACCTTTATCCTAAACTTCCACTTAATACGTTCTCCTACATCAACCGTCCTCACATTACATTCATAACACCCCACCATCTCTTATCTATAGTAATTTTATTCATTACTATAGAAAATAAGTAAGGGCTTAAAGCAGAACCTTGGTGCACTCTTGATCTTACCCTAAAACTATCTTATAATCCACACTTTTTACCCAGGTACAAGTGCCTTCATATATATCCTTTATGTACCTTTTCTCATTAATTCTCACTTGAAAACCTTTCTCGATACCCTATCATACGCTTTCTTCAAATCTGTAAACACTAAACATAGCTTTTTCTTCTTTTCCCTGTACTTTTCTTCTAGTTGTCTCATTCAAAATAATGGCTTCATTATTGACTTACCAGGCATAAATCCAAACTGGCTTTTAAATACCGATGTCTCCTTTCTTATTGTCTTATCTATTACCTTATACCAAATCTTCACACTATGACTCATAAGCTTTATGCCACTTATACACAGTAATTTCCATACTCCTGTAAGTTTCTTTTGTCTTTAAATATCGGTACCACAATACTATTTTTTCATTCTTTTGACATTTTCCTTTCTAATAAGATTTCACTAAAATGATTCTTCAACCGCCTTATGCCATCATCGTCTCATATTTCCCATACTTCTACTGGCACTTCATCTGGTTCTACTGCTTTATTCTTTTTCATTGTTATCATAGTGTTCTACACCTCTTTCTCATTAATTAAATCTGCCAGTCCCTCGTTCCATGATATAAATAAATGAATATTATAAAAATGATATTTTAATAATCAAACATCTCTAAATAAATAAGAATCTATAAATATTTTATAATCATTTTTACTGAATTTTAAATTGTCATATAATATTTATTCTTTAAAATATAACGATTATGTATCATTAAAAAGTTATTTCGTTTATGACTAATATTTTTTGATGAGGTAAATCAATTTATTTAAAAAAAAAAATGTAATGGCTAGTTTATGTTAAACTAAATTTTACTTTATCGCTTATTATTTCGTGTGAATAATAAGTTTATACAAATAGTTATATGCGAAATTCTATACAAGATACAAAATGCGTTGGTATAACTAATTTTTTTGTTCTATTAAATAGTTATTATTATTAATATTGTATTACTGTATCATATTAATTAGTGTTCAATAAAACTAATCTTTGGTATGTTGATATATACAGAAATATAAAAAGGAACACGCATGAGTACCTGAATTGCCTAATTGAAACGCCGTCAAATCATTAACTAGACCAAAACACTGATTAAATGAAAAACAGCTGTATTTTTCTTACTGATTTAAGTATTTATTAAAATGAATACATAAATTTTTAAGTTTTTTTATATAAAATTTTATAGTTTTAACGTTTAACTATAAGTGTGTCTATTAAAAATTGTTTGTTTACGAACTTAATGTCTATAGAGATTTAAATATAGCATTTATTATCTGTAAAAAAAGAGCTATATAGAGCTAATATATATATAGTAAAATATTTAATGTAATTTTGTTTATTTTATTTTATTATTCTTGAAAGAGAAAATAATACAATTAGTAGAATAAAATATAATTTTATATTGTAATTTATGATTAAAAAAATTATAATTTTTAACCTTAATTATAATACACACAACGTCAAAAAGTTTTTTATTTTTATCTTAAATTAAATTCATTCCGCTTTAATTTTATGAAGTTTGGGAGGATGCTAGTTTTATTTATAATTTTTAAATACTATAAGTTCGGCCATTTTTATTGATTAATTTATTTCTAAACATAAAGTATGTTTTATAAGATTAAAATTGACATAAATTAAAAGGAAGTCGGTAATTTGGAACACTATAAAAATTAAAAATAATATGTTCACGCAATTTTTTAACTTACCTTGTACTTTGTTTGATGATAAAATGTAAAATAATTATGCTTATAGCATAATTAATTAATTATAATTGTGCAATTACATCATTGTTTTAAGTTACAACAAATTATAAGTCTGTGGATAAGATGAGAGAAATCAGAAGCTGTATGAACATTTATGAAAATGAATGTTGAATGAAAAAGAAGTAGAGAAAGACCAAAAAAGAGATGCAGGGGTATTATTGAATGCGAAATGAGGACAACTGATGTGTGCGAAAATGATGTGAGAGATCATGTCAAGTGGATGTTTAGGATAAGGGTTGTTGACCCCAAGTTGTTAGGATAAATAAGAAGAAGACTTATTGCAATTGATAGCATTATGGATGGAAATAAGTTTTTCAACTGAATGATACCTTGTCATGAGTATTTATAAAATCCAGGAAATATCGTTTATAAGTTGCTACGATTTTTCAAGATTTAGTATTAAAATTTTATAATAACTTTTAAAAGTATTTTTTAGCAAATAATTTAAGTTTTTCTTAAAAGTTTTTCATTGTGGAATTAAATTAAACAAAATTGACAAATAAAGCCTCATTAAAATGTGTTCTTAAGAATATTTAGTTTATTATTATTATTATTTGTATATTTACTAAAGTTAAAACATTTCTAAGTAATATTCACAGTGACAGTAAAATATTTTGTCATAGAAGAGAATGAAACACCATTATGTAATAATAATCATCATGGAAGATATATACACCTACTCTAGAGCTTTTTTATATATATTACTGTATCAAGATGAACCTAGACGTCATTATGGACTATTAGATATGCATACATGATTTTCTTCTTATTAGGCCAATTTTAAAATTAATTTTTTTACATTAGTACCCCGATAAAGTTACCTGCGCATAAATAATAACCAAGTCTTAAAATTTTATCTTCCAAATTTATGGGATTAATAATTTTTTATAGTTGAATTATTATGTACAACTTACCAAAATATAAAATATATAGAAAAATAATAATAATGAAAATTATACATAATGTCAGAAAGAGTTGATTAATATAATATATTTTATATTTGATGAGAAAATATTATTTTCTTATATTTTTTTCATGAAAATTTTAAAATTTCTAAAAAAAATATTACTATTTAAATAAATACAATAGAATTCGTTGAGATTTCAAACCCTCGTTTTTCTGCAAGTTTCCCAAAAATTATACAAAATATTAAAATTCCGACCTCTATTAATAACACAAAAATTTTATATTTATATTACATATTTAATATATATATTTTTTTTTAATATAGAGAAAGTGTACTTTTTGACATGATATTCCAATGAAAAGTTTTTTTAGACTTTTAGTATTTTTATTATTATTATTATTATTAAAAAAACAATCTGTGCATAAAATTTACAATAAGTTTTTTTGTTGACTTATTCAGTCACATAATATTAACAGCGTTAAAAGTAAGTCACTCATTGGTAACACCTTGATTAGTTTTTTTAAAGCTGTATAAATGTTATAGTTTTATTTTTGTCGTTAATTTGTTAAATCAATAGGTCTCGATTCCATTTACGTTTCAGTTTCTGTGGTGGGTTGTCAGGTATTGAAGTTGTGTACATTTTTTCAATTAAATAGTTTGAGTTTATATTAAGTTTTGAGTGAAATCTAGTATAGTGTAAAATAGCAAGTTCTTTGACAGTTTTGATGTTTAAATCATTTTGTAGGTTATTATTTGTTACATACCACGGCACATCAGTTAACAGTCGTAATGTTATATTTTGAAAGGATTGTATTGGTCAAATGTTAGATGGTTTAGCTGGTCGCCATATATCATAAGACCAGACTGGTCTGATTATTGACTAATAAATAAGTCATTTTGTTTCAAGAAATAATTTAGATTTTAGTAATGGACGAAGAGATGAAGTATGCTGATAGCTTTTTTCCTTTTGTCTTTCAGGCGTAGTCCCATGTCAATCTTTATTAAGTATTATACATTTTTCAAATAATAATGGTAAACTACAATTTTTTTTTTTTTTATGAAATTATATACTTATTAATTGGAAATAATTTTCAAGGATATTCTAAAATTTTTAATATCTGTGGCCTATAATAAATGATGGTTATCAAGATATGGAAACTTGTTTGATATTCTATTTTTTTTTTTTCATAAAAAATTGGCTATCTATTGTTATTATCTACAACGTTCGTTTGTCAATCATTATTATGCCAGTTGATGTTAGTCTCATCACAATCAACTACAGAAATAGTTTCATGTTATTATTATCCTTAAAACGTACCAATCGCCGAATACACAGTTTAGTGATTATTATTTTTTAATTATGAATGATAGTTTTAAAGTTTTGTAATACAAATATATTATCACTCAAATTATGGGTATGTGCATATATATTAGAATCATAATAATAAAATAGTACTTAAAAAATGAATATGAAAACATGGAAAACATGTTATAATCGTATAAAATAATTAAATGGCAAATTGTATATTTTAGCAAATATTTGTGGAATTGACTTTTTTAATTGTTTTCGTAGCTTAAAAAATATTTAAATATAGGAGATTTAGAAAAATGTATACCTGATAATTTTTCCTTTGAGTCTAATTTTTATAATTAATAAAATTAATTAGTACTTGTTATGTGTTTAAATGATACAAATCAGATTTAATCATTAAAAAATTCACAGACTTGCAAAGTCAAAATACTTAAAAAAAAATTGTTTAAATTAAGATAAGAATTTATTAAGCCATATTGGTTTTTTTAAGTTATCTAAAAATATTATTAAGTTACTAACTGCGAGGAAATAAAATCAAAGGTTATAAAAATATTAATATTTGATACAAAACCTGGTAGGCTAGACGAGTTATTAAGAAAATCTCAGTAAGCTCCTTTATTCTATAACTTCTTATAAATATTTGGACCTACATTTTATGATAGTAGTAGTCACTTCAAGATATTTATAATATTTGAATATTATTGTATAATATTGTATTTATAATATTATACTATTTACAATATACTTGCATGTATTTTTAATTCATGTACTATAATGGTGAAATTCAAAAATATATTCTCTTTAATAATCTCTAGTTATTTATAATTATTGAAATTACTAAAAAAAAAATAAACAAATCATTTTAAAATTAAGATATGCACAAGCCTATTAAAGTCAATTATCAGTATACTCAAATTAATCATTAATTATTTATATCTTTATCAAAATTACTTTATCAAAAAGTATCATACATTGGAATCAAATGTAATAAAATAATTCTAAATTACGAAGTAGGATACAAAATAAATAAAAAAATAGTAAAAATGATCATTGTTACACCATTTTTGGAACAAGCTATTAAATAATGGATCGATCTTTATACCACTGAAAATTGTTGCTATTCTGAACATGTGATGTTGAAAAATTTAATAAATCCAATTTGTATTTAATCATTTATTTTTTTGTAAGTATTTACAAATCACTTTATTGCTATTTTGTCATAGAAAGTTAATTGTTAACAATAATTATTTTTCATTCTACGTAGAATAATATAATTTTATAAATAAAAATACAAATACATAAATTATATTTGACTAAACAATAATTATTTCTCCATGTTTTTATCGTTATATATAAAATCAAACATTTAAATAACCTTGTTATTATCCAGTTTAAAGTTATNTATCGTTATATATAAAATCAAACATTTAAATAACCTTGTTATTATCCAGTTTAAAGTTATGAATTCATTTGACAATACTGTAATTGACAATATTTTACAAATAGTTTTCCATCTAATCAAATTAAATATAATCGACTATACCAATACCATATAAATACTAAAATACGGCACATGTTCATCTATTATTAATGCAATATTTTTTTTTAATTTATATATGGAAGTACCATATGACACAAAAAGGATGTATAAAGTGGTTTCTCTAGTTTCAATTTTCAACTATTTTTGTTCACTACTTCGAATTTAATTAATTATAGTTGTACTTAGTTTATGTAAGTTAATGTTTTAAAAAAAATTAATTGCGTGTTTACATACTTCTAACGACACGAGACATTTAAACATCACCAAGTTAAATAGTTTCACTTATTATAATTAAAGCATTTAAAATTATTTATATATTTACATAAATCAATCACATGGTATTAGCTATTATATGTTTGACACTGAATTCATCATATTCATAAAAATGTATGCAAAACTATAGTAAAAATGTAATTTAATGTATTTAAAGATATATTCAAAATTTTTATTATTTTTGTGAGTTACAGAGCTTAGTCTATTATTACTACAATTGTACATTTCTATGGTTCAATCTTTCTACAGAATTGGAATTGGCATTGCAGATATCACTGGACCACCAACTGGTGTTACATTTGTACGTATTTTTAATAAAAATTTAAAACCTAATTTTTATATTTCTATGAATGTTATTGTTACAGACTTACCTAATAAAGTGTAGCACTATTTACTTGATGATTTTTACATAAATTGTTTCTTCGTTGTTTTAGACAATTATGCTAAGTATTATTAATTGTTGTTCTGTAGATGGGATATGGCCAATCGGAACAAATTGGAATGGGAATTCATCTACGACAGTTTTCTAGAGCTTTTGTGATAGAAGACGGAAGTTCAAGAATAACATTTGTCTGTATCGATGCAGCTATGGTTAGTGACAATGTTAAATTGGCGGTAAGATAATGATAAATTATTCTTATTAGCTGTAAGGTGGTGGTACTAGTCATTGGTAGTTTCCTTAGTCTTAAGAAATTTTTAAGTTTAACGTGACAAAGTATTTGTTTAAGAAATTGTATTGTAAGCTTTATTTTACTTATAAAGCCCTCGTGTTAATTAAAAAATTGGATAATTATGATTCATCAAAAATGGATTATCAAAAATGTTTAGCATATCAGTGACTGGTACCTTAACACAATTATAAACTGTGTTTTTTAGGTATTAACAAATCTCAAAGGAAAATTGCCTGCATTCTATAATGAAGATAATTTAATGATTTCGTCTACACATACACATTCAACACCAGGTGGCCATATGCTATACACACTTTTTGACTTGAGTACTCAGGGTTATGTACCACTAACATTTATATCATTAGTAAAAGGCATTACATTGGTAATTATAAATATATGGAACAGATTTAGATTTTACAACAGTATATTTAATTTTTTTGTTATAGAGTATAATTAGAGCTCATGAGAAAATGGGATACGGTCGAATGTTTTTAAGCAGAAGTGAACTTTTAGGTATCTCAATTAATAGAAGTCCACAATCATATTTATTAAATCCAGAAAACGAACGTGCAGAGTGTGTAGATGATTAATTATTGATTAAGTGACTTTTTTTATAAATTTAATATTAGTTTTTGGCTATTGCAAAAATATAACTTTTAACATATAATGATTAATCATTAAAATCTATTCATATTTTAGGTATGAATACGATGTTGATAAGACTATGGTACAAGTTAAATTCGAAAACGAGTTCGGCACACCTATGGGAGTTATTAATTGGTATGCTGTACATGCCACTAGCATGAATAACACAAACAAATTAATATCATCAGATAATCTAGGGTATGCTTCAGTGATGTTTGAGCAGAAAATGAATCCAGAAAATTTGATTGGGAAAGTAAATTCTTAAATAAAAACTATTACTATACTACATTAATAAATACTATAATGTATATGTAAGGGTATTTAGTAAGTAAGAAAATGGGGTTCTATTGTTATTAATATTGTAACAACTGACCTGTTTCCTTATTTACTGAACACTCTGTATAATGATGCATGGTATGGCGTAGTCAGTTCATTCAGTCAGTACCTTAGTACTAATTTTCAGCTGTACTATTTCCTGTTGGTTATCATTTGATCACCCACTTGGGAATTTTAACGATAACACACAACTTGTTCTCTTACTGGCTCCCTTAGCATAATAAGGTTGCGTCAGATCGACAGCTGGTATAAAAATCATGTCAAATCATAAGCTAGACCTCAAAAGAGGTTAGAGATGACGATGATTAATACATAATACAAAATTTAACTTTTTTATACAACTAAAATAATCATTACGTTATAAAATTATTTAAGGGACAATTTGTTGCTGCTTTTGCTTCAGCAAATGAAGGTGATTCTTCACCCAATGTAAAGGGTCCTCGATGTCAAAAGACTGGAAAACCATGCGATATACCTGGGCCATCTTGTGGACAAGATGAACAATGCATTGCCTCAGGACCAGGTAGAAATATGAAAGAAAGCACAAAAATTATAGCTGAACGTTTATTTGAAAAAGCATTTGTAAGTATTGTAATGAATTAAGTAATGAAATTTGTATGAAAGATATCTATCTATACATGTGATAATCGACTTCAATTTTAGTGAATATTGTCAATTTTTTTATCAAAAAATTTGATTGTCATACAATTTATCACAATGTTGTTTTATTAAATTTCGCCAGATTGAGACAGATTGATACTAAACCGTAATTTACCACTGATGAAATGTATAATAATAATAATAATAATAATGTGTGTGTAGGCAGTCAACCAATTAATTATCATGATAGTCAAAATATTTATTTATTTAAACCACGCATCAAATAATACAGCTGCGGTAAAATCATTTGTTGCACCTAAACTAAGCAGTGATTTGGTCCAAAAATATTTACCTGAATATGAAGGCACTAAAGTTAAGGATCCGCAAAAATTTTAAGCGCCACTATTCAAGTACTCATAGAGGCCGGCATACCGACGGATAGATAGCTTAACTTAGTGTCCGAGAAATTAAAGGGAAAAGCTTGTACTTAGTAGGGCACATTAAGTGCAGTATACCCAACTTGATCAGAATTTATAATCAAATTTTTGGAAAACTTTGACGGTCAGGTTACTCAAAAAAAAATTCGTATTGAGCTGTTAAATTGGAGACAAAAACCAATTCAGTCTCTATGCAATTTTGTAATAAAAAATCTATCAACTATTTCGTCGCCACAATTGCGGTCTATCTGAAATAGAAACCATTGACATTATTATAGAATTTATGCACGTGAAACTCCAAGCACTGGTACGCGTTAATGCGTCGACGTCTTTTGTTGAGCTTAGAGCGTTAGTAAAAAAGATTGAAGTCGCACATGAACCAGGAAAACCATTATATGTAAAATCTACGGTTCTGGAGCCGACGGCGCGTCCTCCTGAAAATCAGAAAAAGGTGATAGAATGTTGGAACTGCGGCAGCCCCCATTTTAGTCAAACCGATAAGCAGTTGGAAAACGCGAAAAAGGCCGGGTGAGAAAAGAAACCCGCACCGGCCAAAAAGTAAAGTCGTTTATAGGGGTTCATAATAAAACATGTTTTGAATAACCGCAGTCTAAATCGTCTAACGGAGCACGTGATTCCTGTGATTCCTGTGATTCTGTAAAAGAGGACAGTCATCGAGCGCAAAAAACTGAAATAGAAAAACCCCTAGTTTAGTTAGGAAAAGCCGATCAATCGGAAAACCCCCTTCTTGACTTACTAGATATGGGAAAATCCGTAAAAAAGCATTAGAATTTACCGTATAAGTAAACGAAGAGACTCGGAAACTGACTCACTTTACAAAGTACGACAACGTTTTGCTGCTCATGTTAAATCCATTTTTGATGTTAATCCACACCAGGCAGAGAAGTCAACTAGGAACGCTGAAGGAAGCACGACATAATGCTTAATAATCCTAACCCTGTAGTTTAGAATTCGACTATGCGATAAACCACATCGTTTTTGGGACACTTGTTTACCCGCATTAATGTTTGCACTACACAATCGAAAAAATTCGGTAGCTGGCTACACTCTATCCGAATTAATTTTTTGCAAGGAAGCAAAGCTTCAGGAGATTGGTTCCTACTTGGAAATAGAACCGAGGTAGCCATCGACAGCGTGTATAGACAGAAACGTAATGCGAAAGTGGGTTTCGCGCCAAAATGGTTAAGGCCAGTGAGATTAGATAGTTCCCTGGGGAAAGGTGTCTTTCTCGTAGGAAGAAAGCCGGGCAATAAAGTTCACTATTCAGCTCTAAAACCCACTTGATTTCGACAAACTGTTTGATTCCAGATGTCTAATCCACCGTCGAAACAAACAGCTGAGGCACCAAATAAAAAAAAAAGCGTTTTCGCTCACCACCGACCACTATTCCAAGTCTTGTGTCGCACCTACGACAATGGATTAATAGTCAAAAACACCAAATTGAGCAGATGGAGTTGGCATCCGTCAACTCAGTGGGGCCTTGGAAGAAGAAAAGGAGAGGAGAACCAATCCACCTAACTCAATTACGACCCGTGACATGGCTACCCGAACTGTGGAGACATCAATAAGTCTAGAGTGGACTAAAACCGCTTCCTTGGCTAAGATTAGGGCAAGGCCATATTAATATTAATATTAATATAATATTAATTATAATAATAAAATAGATTTATTCTCAGTTTATTTTACTAAAATCTCGTTGTCGTTCCTTCTTGCTACTGCGACAAAAAGATAATATGTAATTATGGATCTAATTATTCCATGTTGGACAATTTAGTGACGGGAAAAATCGGAGCTAGATATATATGTATAATAAATTTGAACTAATAATTGTCTATATTGTATTATACAAAATATTCCTATTTTTTCCTATCGACGCTCAAGAATGAAAAGGTTGTAATGCAAAATAGATGATTTTTCAGTAGATCGAACAGTGTTTAGATGTAATAAAATAAAACTTATTGTTTCATTTAAGTTAATTAAATTCATGTTCGATTGTCAAATTTGGCCGTCACTGATGGATTCTATTATTTTATTCCACTAATTTAAACTTTCGTCAAAGGTAATCTATTGTTATACTAGGTATACGGTTAAAATGTATTGTTCAATGAACATATGAAAAACATGTAAAAATCAAACGATACATTAAATAATGGTGCCAAAGGAAAAATGAAAAAAAAAA